GGCAGGCATGTATTCTACTCATTGTACTACTGTGGTTACCTTTTTGTTTTACACAGCAGGTTTAAAGTAATGATCTGTGATTTGTTTTTGGTTTTTTCATCAAATGTTTAAAATTATTGTGCTGCGGACACATTTTTACAATGGAAAATGACCCAAAGAATAAAATGTGAGAACCACTAAATGAAACACACTATTAACACTTTTACCCTAGCAACATTTAAAAAAGGGTTATGAACCAGTGGGAATTCCTAGGGAAAATCCTTAAAAAACAACCAAATTACATAGGTCACTAATTTTTTTTTTTTTTTAAATATTTTGTTATGTACATCATCATCATCAGGTGCCTTGCCGACTGGCGTGGGCGATCATGCCTCTCCATAATCTGCGATCTCCTGCAGTATGTATCAGTTCGTGTGCCGACACACCTCCATGCCATGCAACAAGACTGTCAAGCATCTTCTCTTTTCTTCTATCTCTCTTCCACATATCTTTCCAGTGGTCACAACACGTTCTATTTTTCCCTTTTCTCCTAACATGGCCGAAAAATGATGACTGTCTCCTTCTGATGTCTATGATAAGTTGTCTTCAGGCTCCCGCCTCTTTCAATACCTCTTGGTTGCTCTTTTTGGCTGTCCAAGGTATTCTAAGCATTCCTCTGTAAAACCACATCTCCGAGGCCTCCAGAAATAGTTTGGCCTGCCTACCGATTGTCCAGGATTCATCGCCATATGTTAAAACTGGATGTATGTAACAAGCAAGAATTCTTTTTTCTAACTCTCAATGACAAGGATATATTGCACAAGATGTTTTTCATTTTATAAAATGCAGTTTTTGCCTGTCCTATTCTATTTCTCATCTAAGTTATGCATCTTCCATCTGATGTTATCCATGTGCCCAGATATTTAAATTTCTGTACTTTTTAATGTATTTATGTACAAGTGTTTAGAAAATTTTTTTTTAAATATATTAAGATATATAAATGTGGTAATCGATAAACATGAACAGAATGAAGCATCAGCTGAAATACATTCCCTAGGGCCTTAAAAATATGTACTCAGTGACTCATGCTGTGACCTTTAACACTGAGATTAATGGGAAATTATGATGTCACCCAATATCTTTCAAAATGCCAGGCGGTCTGCACTACAAAATTCCCTACGTGCTATTTTAGTCAATATATTCATTGCCTAACCTCAATAATGCTACGCCGATTAAAACATAACCAAAGGTATTAACTAGATGTCTCATAAATATGCCACTGTAGAGAATGCTGGGTAAGGGTATTTACTGGAGATTGGAGCCTACCAGAAGTGCCAGGTTTTGGTTTCCCGATGTGCTAGGGTTGAAATATAAGATTCGTTACCATGTATAAAACAATCAATCACCCTTAAAAAAAAGGTTACATTTTCTGAATCACATCTGTCGAAATGTGTACCCTAAAAATCTGTTGTAGCACATGAGTGTAGACCTGAATGTTAATAGTCTGCATTAAAAAAAAAGGAGACACAAAGAAAAGATAAATTCATACCAGCTGCTAACATAAAATTCGCTAGTTAAGTAAAGGCCAAATTAGAACCTTTAACAGGTTCTGAAGGACTGAGCACTGAAAGAACAATAATATAAATTTCTTCCTGAAAAAAGAAGTGTGAATATGAATACATAAACCATGAAAATAAAAACATGGATATGAATCTGAAAGGTGCACCTTGTGCCACAGATATCTATGATCAAGATCTTGTGCCACCTACCTTAAAAACACTTGGCTTTGGCATCTGGTAAGAATGCGCAACTTTAGCTACTATCAAACACCCTACATCTAAAACAAGCTAATGTGGAGCCAGAGGACACCAAAAAGATGATATCTTGATAAGATTAAAGGCACTGTGTCTTCACATGGAGTGACAGTAGCCTGTGACATCTATCCTGTGTTTGGGCTGTCTTCTCAGCCTTTAGCAAACTGTTTAATTTGTCTGATACTGTAGCTAAAGTGACTGGACATTCCCCAGGGTGTCCACTAATCCAGTAGAATATTCAGTCTCCAGAGCTGAGTTTGCCACAGGAAACAGCATACATTTTGATAACGGAAACACTAGACTTCATACACAGTTTAACAATCAGTGGTCAGTTCAGTAGGCTGTGATGACAGGGATTGACAATTATATGCAGATTTAGAGTATCAGATTATTGTTTGTGCCTCCTAATACTGCTAACCATAAAAGAGGGAAAGGTTAGAAAGGTAGGCAAACTATAAATAGTATGATATAGTAGTACAAGTGGAAGTATCATGCCAAGAGGTTGACAAAGTCAAAAAGATCAGTCTGTCTGATTCATCTATAACTCATTCCCAGATCTGTAGACTGGCAGTTTCCCTAAAGCATCTCATTTCATCTCATTTCTTAAGTCTTGATTTTAAGTCTGTGAATTTTGTATATAAGAAACATTGATTACAGTCTGATTGTAGTCTGTCCTTCAAAGAACACATTGACCATGTCATAACAAACAAACGCAAAGGCCTGTCAGTGTTGAGGGTCCTAGCCACTGCCAATACTGAGCAGAGGCTGCTTCTGATTTTGTTCCAGGTACTGGCTCTTTCTCCCATCAAACATGCCTTAGCTATTCTCAGAATGAAAAACTTGAAAAGGTGCAAACCGAAGGCATGCACATTTATTTGGGTGTGCACAAGAGACACTTCTTATGTGTCAGTGAGATATCTTCTTGGCTTCCGCCAGTGAACCACGATCAAGATTTGGAGGGCTCGCACATACCTGAAAATAAGCTCAGATCGGAAGCTCAGGTCTTACAGACATCCACTTTAGTGATGAGTGGATACCTCTGCCTAAAGCTCTCAATTACACTTTCTCCTATGTCATGTTTGACAGGAGATGTCGGAAGCAGTATCCTGTTGCTGTCAACATTGAGGCCATGCACTTAAGAGTGATAATTCAGATAAGCTGATCTACACAGAAAGGTCCACTGTACGAGGACACAAGAGTGTATGGGGGTTCACAGCCTGCACTACAGGCAGAAAAGTCAAGGAAGCTAGTGGTGCCTCCTCTATGACTACTAACAGTGTGATAATGGAGTTGACAACAGTGACACAATCTTTCATGTGGTTGGAATTACAGGACTATTCTTATATGTGTGTGCTGAGTAATTCTAAGAGCAGGATCTGGTAGGTCGAGGAAGGTTCTGTATGCAGATATAGTGGATTGTCACTGCAAAACTCCCCTGTGCATGCAGTTACCTTCATCTTTGTCCCTGGGAATGCAGGTGTTGTTGGCAATGAAAGAGCTGACAGACTGGCTGGTCCTGCCTTATTTGCAGATGATCAGCCTGTGGATCGTGCAGATATTGTTAATGCCCCAGAGAGGCATAAGACAATCTGAGGATTTTAGGAGCAGTGTGTCCACATCACTCCTAAGAATTTGAGAACTGGGAGAAAAATCAGCACAGCCAAGCATGAGAGGCACACCAGACACATAAGAAGTCCTGTTAACCAGCATAGGACTGGCATTATTAACCATGTGATGCTAATGTATATGTTGAGGGGGTGAATCTGAGCACCTATGGACTTGTTCTGAGTGCTGTGAAGATAACCCAACTCATAACTGACAACGAAATACATTCCAAGCAATAGACATTATGACAAAAATTAAACTTCAGCTGTAACTTCTCTGCTTCGAAACATGAAAAAATATTTAAGTCCATGTGCCCATGCATGTGCATACGAGCGAACAGGCGAATAGTGTGTGTGTGTGTGTGGGTTGGAGCACACAAAACAAAATTAAAACGTGATGCAATACAGCATATTAATAAAAATTAAATTACTCAACATACTAATTTTAAACTAGTCAAAACATGTGCTATTATTTCCTCTTCTTTCATCCACCCTAAAATGCAAAGTTCAGACCTTGCCTTCATTAACATATTCTATTATGTAATATCAGATAAAACTTCAACAATAATTCAATGTGACTTATTTAATATATATATCTCTGAATTTTGACAAAACCTTGCTCTTCTCAACATCTCAAAGTGAATTAAAAATAGCAGCAAAGACTGGAAGACAGATGACATGCATTGTTTAATATCATTGCTAATACAGATGTTCTTTTTCTCAACACACTGTATAGTGATAGCTGAACAAGGGTGCACAAAAATATAGTGAACAGCAGAAAATGTTATGTCACTTTAAAGATAAATAAAAATATTTCAAACAAATAAATCAGCTTATCTAATGATTAAAAAAAAAACCATAACAACACTTCAGAATTTGCCATCTTACTGGAAACAAACTCCAAGATTGTAACCCTCCATGGAAAAAAAAAACAGATATATAATCTCGATAACAAAATCAGATTACTAACAAAATAATGTAATGTACATACATTTCACCAACAAGCAGTAAGTGTGACAAAAATCTGGCAGAGAAAACATGTCCCTCAACTTTAAAAATGTACACAGCTGACAAATGTACTCTGTGAATGTCCCACATTAACGTTAAAAAAAAAATACACACACACATATACATTTATATGAAGCTGCTGGTAAAAATATGTACAATCAAGTTTCATAAATTAAAAAATTATCATGATTACATACATATATAATTAAACATTAATTTAGATTTATTAAAATGGCACATCTTTTCAAATGTATTCATGATTTTCCTGACACATGGAACTACCCATGATCCAGCACTGGCTTTCAATAAAATATCATATTCAAACAAACACATTTTTTGTTGTTGACAATATCACTGACATACAATCAAAGACCTTAAAAAAAAAAAAAAAGCACACAGGTGAAAGATATCAAAGCCAATAAAAAACAAAAAAAAGTAGAGTTCTGATTTAGTTTTGACTTGATGTGCTTGACAATTTCAACTTCAGGTGCTTGTTATTTGAGCAGTGTCTAGTTCACTTGTGACAAAAACATTTGCACACCTCACTCCACTTGTTCAAAACATACATACAACACATCGTAACATATACACAGGGCTAGGCTTCACTCTCCACCTTGTACTTGGTCCCAGCTTCAGAGCTGCTTTTCCAGAATTTGATCCTGGACTTAATCTGGCTTGGGCGGTGCTGAAAAGAGAAGAATGTTATTGGTGATTTTGACTGCGCAAAGCTTTCACCAAGGTTTTAGTTTTAGTCTTTCCTCTTGTGTCGAGTGCGGCACATAGGGCAGAGGTCGTGACTCTCCATGCACGGCGGTCCGTTGCAATCCGTTGTAGGTCTTGGATGTTTGAGTGGCCCATGAGCGAGCCTTCCCTGATGATAGTTCTACGTAGGGTTTCCCTTGGTCTTCCACGAGATCTTTTCCCCTGTGGTGTCCAAATGAGGGCTTGGTAAGGAAGTCTTGATTTATCCATTCTAAGGACGTGGCCGACATAGTTCCAGCGGCGTTTTCGTATAAAATTAGACACATACTCTTGCCTGGATTCTTGCCTTATTTGTGTATTGGTTCGGAAATCTGACCATTTGAAATTTAGTATTCTTCTAAGGCATTTATTTTCAAAACTGTCTAATTTTGTGTCTAGAGTTTTCGTTGATTTCCAACTCTCGCATCCATAGGTTAGTACTGGAATCACACAAGAATTGAAGATCTTGAGTTTTGTGTGTTTGCTAAGTGTCTTTGATTTCCAGATGTTAGACAGTTTATTGAAGGCACTAGATGCCAGTGCTATTCTAAATGATATTTCTGGTGCGGTATCTCCTGTAGATGACATCTTGCTCCCTAGATAAGTGAAACTGTTGACTTTTTCAAGGCTGTTGTTGTTCAGCGTGATATCAACTGAACTGTTGGTAAGGTCTAGAATTTTTGTTTTTGCGGTGTTAATTTGGAGTCCAATTTGTTCTGAGAAATTCTGGAGTCGATTGATTTTTTCTTGGGCGTCTGTGTGTTCTGAACTCAGGAGTGCTATGTCGTCAGCGAAGTCTAGGTCTTCCAGAATTTTGTCAACCCATGTAATGCCTAAATTTGCGTTATTTATGCACTTGCGCATGACCCAGTCGATTGCTATACCAAAAAGCATCGGCGATAGGACACAGCCTTGCTTCACTCCTGTTTCCACCGGGAACCAGTCAGAATTGCCGGAATCAGTTCTTACACAGCATCGTGTTTCATTATAAAAAGATTTTATGATGTTCACCAAGGTTACTGCCAGTTAATGAATGTCTGTAATTTATTAGTAACTGCTTTAGTTCTCCATGTTTCCGCCCCATAAAAAAAGTCCTGATTTGAAATTAGAATTACAAATTTTAAGTTCAGTATTTCTTTTAATTTCTTTTGACCTCCACAAATTCCCTAGTCCTATAAAAACTCCTCTTGCCTTTTGTATTCTTATTCAAAATCTCTATCAGTTCCCCCATCTTTATTTACATTACTGCCTAAATAGGTGTACGACTCCATGTCTTGGAGTGTGATGCCATTAAGAGAAACCACATTACTATTTGCCTGATTTATTCTCATTGTCTTTGCCTTTCCTTTATGGATTTTCAGACATTCATTCATTCATTCATTCAGTAGCATGTCCCTCGCGGAACCTCGCTGCCATAACAACCCTCCGGAAAACCTTCCTATCCTGAGCAAGATGTCCTGCGTCTGATACACCCATCTGGAAATCATCTGCCACATCCTGCACCCATCTTCTCCTTGGCCTTCCTCTTCCTCTCTTCCCAGACATATACCCCTCCATTATTGTTCTCTCTAGACTTCCATGACGTTTCAAGTGACCAAAATATTTCAATTTTCTTTGTTTTATTGTCTTTACTAGCCAACCCTCTTCAATATTCAGCTCTTGAAGTATGGATGCATTTGTTCTTTTCTTTACCCAAGATATTCTTAGAACCTGTTTGTAACATTTATATTCAAATGCATTTATGCGCTGTTCCGCTTGTTTGGTAAGTGTCCAGGTCTCACAGGCGTATGTTGCAATGGGAAAGATGCATGCTCTTAAAAATCTGACCTTTGTAATTCTATCTGTACAATTCCATAATTTATTCAGTTGTTTTAGTCTTTGAAGAGCAATTGATAGTCGCCGTTTAATTTCTTTCATTGTGTCACCATTGTTGGTAACCAGTGACCCAAGATATTCGAAATTTTCCACCACTTCCAATCTTTCCTCATTAACATATATTTCCTTCTCCATGGCAGTTTTGTTTGTATGCATTATCTTTGTTTTTGCTATGTTAAGAAATAAGTTATGATTTTCACTTTTTCTTTGGAGTGAGGTTAATAAGTTTTTTAAACCATTTTGTGATGTTGATAGTAATACTGTATCATCAGCATAACGAATTTCTGGTATTTCATGACCACGATGGTTTAGGGCATCATATTGTTCCTTGTTTATATCATCTCTTACATTTCTCATTATATTTTCGGCGTACAGGTTGAACAAATACGGTGACAGCACACATCCCTGACGGACTCCTTGCTTGATGCCAAACCAGTCTGATGTCTCTCCATCTATTCTGACTGCTGCTTGTTGGTCTTGATAGAGCATTTTAATGAGCTGCACTATATGTGATGGAAAGCCCATATTCCTCATGATTTCCCAAAGCTTCTGATGTTGTACACAGTCAAATGCTTTTGAATAATCCACAAAACATAAGAACAGATTTACATTAAATTCTCTACACTTCTCTATTATTAAACGCATGTTGAATATATGATCTCTTGTTCCTCTTCCCTGTCTAAATCCAGCCTGAGCTACATTAATTAATTAATTTTCAGACATAGCTACTGTAATCTCGCATCTAGTATATTTAATTTATCTTGCATCGGAAACTGACATTTACTGGTGTTTAAATAACTGCAGTGAAGCAGAAGCATATAAGGTGGTGGAAAATGATTGTATTAGTTACTTCATACTTTGAGATTATTCTCTCCATTGTGAGAAGTAACAACCCTCCATGCTTAGGTACATCCTACGTTGGGAACCCTTAGGTGTGTGTCGTCAGTTAATGAAGCAAAGATACAGCACTTCTGCTGGTCCCTTAGAACCTACAAGACAATGCTATTTGTTTTAAAAAAAAAAAGAGGGGAAAGGGAGGGGGGTGTTCGACTTTTACAGCCTATGACAATGTCACGTGTGATGAGCAAGACCAGGTCACATTAAATACCATGAAAAGATGTCAAACCAAATGAAAAAATAGAATTAGTCAGCATAAAATAAACCAAACAAAAGGTAAAACCAGTCAGCTTAAAATAAAATAAACCAAACAAAAACGTAGAACCAGTGAGCTTTAAATTAAAAAAATTTTTAAAGTAGAACCAGTCAGCTAAAAATAAAATAAATTAAACAAAAAAGTGTAATCAATCAGCTTAAAATAAAATAAATCAAATAACAAGTAGAACCAGTCAGCTTCAAATACAATAAACCAAACAAAACATAGAACGAGTCAGCTTCAAATATAATAAACCAAACAAAACATAGAACGAGTCAGCTTCAAATAAAATAAATCAAACAAAAAGTAGAACCAGTCAGCTTAAAAAAAAATAAACCAAACAAAATGTAGAATCAGTCAGCCACAGATCACATGGTTTGAAGTGACCTACCTCCATAAGCCACATGCCAGATCTGGAAGTAGGGTGAGTGTATGCGTAGTAGACCCAGCCTGCTAGGCCTGCCAACAGACCACAAATGATGATGATCACAATGACTATCACAGCAACAGGAAACTCACTCTTCTTGCTGCACTGTCCGTCCTGAGTGAGAAAATGAAGAGAGATCATCAGGATACAATAAGAAGTGACTGCAGCATACATGCTTTCTTTTTTTTTTTTTTTTTCTTTTTTCTCTACATAACTGTTGTTAATACAAAAGTTACAATTCGGAGGATTGACTTCAGGTTTTATCCCATGTGGCTCAGTCTCTCTCTACTGAACAGCTAGCTGTCTGCTGACAGTGTCACACACAGCACAACTTCACAGCTCCAGGCAATGACCCCCAGAAATCTCTATAATAATTGCATCTGTGAACTAGACAATGCAGTTTGTTAAATAAACCCATGGCTTTCATAGCATGAGGCCATAAAGACGCTGTCTTATTGACAATGTATACACCTTATAGTAGAGTAAGTAACCTACCCTTTTCTATGCCTTTACACCGACTGGACATATAGGGTTAGACCTATATTCTATAGACCAAATGGCACTTGGTGGCTGATGTGGTCAGCATCATGCCGGCTACCTTTACTTAATAGGACTGTACCTGGTACCTGCTCAAAGCTCCCAGTATACAAGTTACACCAATTTAACAATTGTATCTGGCTAGTGAACTTTAAGACAAAATGTCACATGAATTAGATCTCTACTGGCAATGTTCAGGTCACTTACACAAATAACAAATCTGTCTTATAAGATGCTTACAGTCCCATTATGACAGTTACTTATTTAAAAATTTTATTATTTTTAATTATTATTTATATTTGACTATCCAATTCCACATTAGTCTCACTTTCTAAAATAAAAATAAAACTATATTAAAATCATAAACTAAATCATTACTGTCACATCCTTGATGGTTTTTTTTTAAATATAAATAATTATTTTACAATGTTTACTATTTAAAATACACTAGCAGCATGCATACAATAAAAATAAAAATAAAAAGTGAGAAAAAAAGGTTAGAATCTGACTGAAGCACACATCCAATGGTCAGTTAATGGACTTACTACAATGATATATGAATAGTTTTATTGGAAGTACTCTAGGTTCTTTACCGTGACATTATTTTACTAAACAATTATTTCTACACTGAAAAATATAACGTCAGGATGAATCATATGTATAGTTAATATTTCTTTAAAGTGTGTAAATAAGTTATATGAATTTACATATAAAATTTCTTAGATGGATTAAATATATAATTAGTTTGATCTGATATCTTCTCAAATGTGTGACAATCCACTGATTAATTTATATGTATTGTTGACATCCGTGCAAATATTTCTGGATGAATTATACGTACAGTCAATATTTGCAAACAGGTTCATGGATAATTTTAAAAGGCTTAGTTGATATCTGCCCAAATTACTTGATGATTTATACGTATAAATGAAATTTGTTAAAAAGTTCCTGGATGAAATTTCAGTACAGCTGATATCTTCACAAAGTTCCTGCTTGAATCATGTGTACAGATATATCTGTATGAAACTTCCTACATTAATAGAATGTCTATTGGATATCTTTATAAAAGTTCGTGGATGTATAGTTGATATAAGTGCAAAGTTTCTTATGCATTTTATTCATAGCTGATACTGGAACAAAAGTTCCTGGGTAAATTATTGTACTGTTGGTATATGTTCACAAGTTTCAGGATGAATCACACACACTGTTGACATTTATTTTTATTTATTTTACCAGGTAATGATCTTACTATCCAAGAAAACCGGGTGGGAAAGAAGAAGAAAAACATGAGAAACTAAGAAAGAACACCACTCAGACAGGGCTCCCAATTGTTAATTCTGCAGCAAATGATTCTGTTTTGTGCTCAGAAATATGCAGCATTTCTATGGATGAAAATTACTAAATTACAGGCTGTGACAGATCAGTATGTCAGAATTATGAAACAATATTCATAACATCTAAGACACACTAATTCACTGTAGAAAGCTTAAGGAAGGCTTCTATAAGCCCTCTGTGATCCGTGTAAATGTCTGCATCAGAAACCAGTACTAGTTATCACAAATGGAATATAAACTGATAAATGTAAAACTATATGTTAAAAACAGGATGAGATTGTGTCTTCACGTCTTAAAGGACTTGTGATCAATATATAAAACTAAAAGTGATATTAATATTGTAAACATTTCAATAATTACAGTATATTTTAAACAAAATTAACACACACACACACAATCACTCAGCAAAACAAACAATAACAATGAAGAACATAGGTCCCTCAACTAAATGCTCAGGAAGAAGAACTTGTGTCTTACTCAACAAACAAATACTGAGTATTAAAGACACTGAAGTATACTGCTCAACTGAGTTGCGTTGAGTTGACATTACAGCACTCGGGGCATTCCCATGTGTGCTCCATCCTCATCTTCAGCAGCCAGCGGAGTTCCAATGCTGACGGTATCGGTCACAATCTTTTCCCTGAGAGTAGTTAGCCGGCCAGACCTTTTGGTTACAAGCCTCATTCTCTCCATCCTATTATAATTTTGTTTCTCTACTGATTCCCTTGCTTGTTCCCAAAGGGCCTTGACGACATCTTCCTTGTCATGTATCAATTCACCACTCAGTCATGCAGATCCAGCCAATCTGTCTGCCTGTTCATTATCCACTACGCTGGCATGGCCTGAATAAAAGATCCAAAGTATGCTCACTACCCGTGAACATTCCAGTGAAGCTTCCACTCTGCTCGAAGCATCCCTGTCTTCACCTTTCTCAGCATGACTTCAGAGTCTGTTACAGTTATGACTTGTGTATGCATCTTGTTCTCTAGCCACTGGTGAGCTGCAATTACCGCCTTGACCTACATTCTCATGCTAGATGTTGTGATGTTGTATGCTAGGCTGTCTTGCACTGAAGATGTTCCATTGGCTCTTGCTAAGAACCCCCAGGCATTTCTCTTTCCTCTCTTCCATGCCCTCTGTCAGAGGCATCCAAGAAGGGTATTTGAACTCTCATACATGAAAGACCTATGAGATTTTAAAGCCTTGACTTTACTGGATTTGGAGATCAATACCGAACGTGGCAGATTATCACTTCTGTGATCACCCAGAACAGTCCATTTGGTATCCAGTACTGTTGACTGAGTAACAAACGCCAGGTCAATAGCTGTGTCTGCATCACCGGACCTCACAGCCATTCTGGTTGGCCTCCCATCACTTATGCAGACACAATTTTGAGTCGACCATGGCATCAGCAAGGGCAACTCCATGTCGATTGTCTCCAGTACTGTTCCATTCATTGTTCCATGCACTGAAATCCCCACAAATGAGGAACCTGTTGCCAGGGATCTCCTCTATGTCTTTCAGCCAGTCCCACTGTTGCTTTGTGACTAATGAGCAGCATATATATTTATTATGTTCCAGCCTAGGCCACCAGTCTCCATTTGTATTCCCTGCACCTCCAGAGCATCATGATTCCATGGAATCACCACTGCTCAATTGAACAAATACTCAGTGTGAAACACTGATGACCCTCTCAGCTAAACAAATACTCAGTATGAAAGACACTGATGAGGCTATCTTTCGAATAACGATCCCAAATTATCAAGGCTGAAAATATACTCTAACAGGGCCTCAGTCACGTGTCAATTGTGGACTTCCGCCACCGACAAGAGTATCTCTCACGCTGCTACGCACAGCATGGATTGGGGCTAAACTAGATCACTGGGTCTCACGAGCAAATAAAATAAAGGAAGCTGATGAGATGCGGTAGCTGCTGCTCGTGAGTCCCAGCCATCTAGTTTAGCCCCAATCCACGCCGTGCGTAGCCGAGTGGGAGATGCTCTCAGCGGTGGCAGTAGTCGCCCGCACTTTAAGTCGTCGGAAGTCTGCAATTGACAAGTGACTGAGGCCCTGTTAGGGTATATTTTCGGCCTCTATAATTTGGGACCGTTGTTCTTAAGATAGCCCATTGATGACCCTCTCAACTGAAAAAATACTCAGTATGGAAGACACTGAAGACCCTCTCAAATGAACAAATACTCAGTAGGAAAGACAATGAAGACCCTCTCAAATGAACAAATACTCAGTAGGAAAGACACTGATGACCCTCTCAACTGAACATTTAGTATGAAAGACACTGATGTTCCACTCGACTAAACAAATACTAAGTATGAGACACTGATGTTCCACTCAACTAAACAAATACGCAGTGTGAAAGACATTGATGTTTCACTCAACTAAACAAATACTCAGTATGAAAGACATGGGTTTTCCACTCAACTAATTAAATAGTCAGTAAAAAAGATACTGATGTCCCACTTATATAAACAAACACTCAGTATGTAGAATAAGTTTCACTGAACTATAAACAAACACTCAGTATGAAGAATATGTTTCACTGAACTAAACGTACACTCAGTATGAAGAATATGTTTCACTGAACTAAACGTACACTCAGTATGAAGAATATGTTACACTGAACTAAACAAACACTCAGTATGAAGAATATGTTACACTGAACTAAACAAACACTCAGTATGAAGAATATGTTACACTGAACTAAACAAACACTCAGTGTGAAGAATATGTTACACTGAATTAAACAAACACTCAGTATGAAGAATATGTTACACTGAATTAAACAAACACTCAGTGTGAAGAATATGTTACACTGAATTAAACAAACACTCAGTATGAAGAATATGTTACACTGAATTAAACAAACACTCAGTATAAAGAATATGTTACACTGAACTAAACAAACACTCAGTATAAAGAATATGTTACACTGAACTAAACAAACACTCAGTATGAAGAATATGTTACACTGAATTAAACAAACACTCAGTATGAAGAATATGTTACACTGAACTAAACAAACACTCAGTATGAAGAATATGTTACACTGAACTAAACAAACACTCAGTATAAAGAATATGTTACACTGAATTAAACAAACACTCAGTATGAAGAATATGTTACACTGAACTAAACAAACACTCAGTATAAAGAATATGTTACACTGAATTAAACAAACACTCAGTATGAAGAATATGTTACACTGAATTAAACAAACACTCAGTATGAAGAATATGTTACACTGAATTAAACAAACACTCAGTATGAAGAATATTTTGCAGTGAACTAAACAAACACTCAGTATGAAGAATATTTTTCAGTGAACTAAACAAACACTCAGTATGAAGAGTATGTTTCACTAAATTATACAAACAGTATAAAAAAATTTGTTTCACTGAACGAAACAAAGACTCAATATGAAGGATATGTTTCACTGAACTAAACAAATGCTCAGTAAGAAGAGCACGACAGCACTCTCACATAACAAATACACAACATTAACATTTTAAGATCCAAGCAACACTGTGTGTGTTGATTAAGAAGTTCCGATTTTCCCAAACAACACCGCCAGCATTGATCGTGTGTCCTATATTTACAGATTCGCAAATCGCTCTGTATTTGTTTCTAATGTTCAAAACTACCATTGAAGTATTCAGAGAAGGCTACTCTAACGTTTTTCTTTGTATACAGGTCTTCGTTCGCACACACATGGGTGAAAATTGATTCAATTCATTGTTATTGTTAATTTCAGACAGCACATTTTATTTTTTTTCTGTTCAACTGGCCAGTTCCAAACACACGCACATGCCGAAAAAATGCCTTTCTGTGTCTGAAGCTTTGAACTTGTTTCAATAAATGGTTTCCTTATTGTGAAAATAACAATTTTAACTTTTGGAAAAGTAATTTGGACGGTAAATGTACATCAGAGGCAGCTGAGCCGTTGGTTGTGATGAGGTAAATGTACATCAGAGGCAGCTGAGCTGTTGGTTGTGATGAGGTAAATGTACATCAGAGGCAGCTGAGCTGTTGGTTGTGATGAGGTAAATGTACATCAGAGGCAGCTGAGCTGTTGGTTGTGATGAGGTAAATGTACATCAGAGGCAGCTGAGCTGTTGGTTGTGATGAGGTAAATGTCATCAGAGGCAGCTGAGCTGTTGGTTGTGATGAGGTAAATGTACATCAGAGGCAGCTGAGCTGATGGGTGTGATGAGGTAAATGAACATCAAAGGCAGCTGAGCTTTTGGTTGTGATGAGGTAAATGTACATCAAAGGCAGCTGAGCTGTTGGTTGTGATGAGGTAAATGTACGTCAGAGGCAGCTGAGCTGTTGGTTGTGATGAGATAAATGTACATCAGAGGCAGCTGAGCTGTTGGTTGTGATGAGGTAAATGTACGTCAGAGGCAGCTGAGCTGTTGGTTGTGATGAGGTAAATCTAGAAGGACCCATTCTGTTTGCAAAGGATGTGCTATATTTATGATCAAAGGACTGTTTCATAAAGTACCATACTCATACTATGGCTAAGCTGCATTGAAACTATTGCAGCTAAAATCTGTACATAACTACAAAGTCAATATTATGTGTGTAAAAAACTATAGGTCAAATTTTCTGCCATTTTGATTTCTTTAAAATTTTGGTCAGAATCTATGATACAGAGCCTATGAAGTCAGAAACTAACTTAGAAATGTCTCATAACTTTTGAATTTGTTAGGAAATTGAACAAACTTTAGTTTTATTCTCAAATGTGGATATTCACTGCTCTTGTGGTGTTGAAACCATGGTAAGCAAAGAATTGTTGGGGTAAAGTTTTGTCTTTGTAAACATAACAACTGCTAAATTCTTTTTTTTATTACTAATTATAACAGTATCAAACAAAAATATATCATCAGATTCAAAATGAACATTCATTTCTCTTTAAACAATTTTTTTTTTACTTTTGTAGGAATTAGAAATATATCACATTCTAAATTGCCTTTTTTTTAACACCACCCCTCTGCCATTTTTGTAAAGAGAAATTAATGTGAGCCAAGTGAGTCAAAATTCATAGTTTGAAAGAGTTAAGAACAAGATGTCTCAATCAACTTAACAACAACACAGTTAGTCCAATGAATATGATAACTCACTCAATTAAACGTATTTTCAGCTTAAAGGGTAATAATGTCTAACTCAAATGAGCATTAATGAAGTACAGAATATCTAAAACAAAAAGTTAAGTTGACACAGATAAAGGAAGAAGAACATAAAGCCTCACTGAACTAAATGAATATTCAAGCAAAGTACCTGATGTTTCCCTTAACTAACAAAAACTGAGCTCTCTCCACAAGCCAATATACTTCAATCGTTGTGCATGATGTTTCACTCAACTAAAGACCAAGAAACTAATTCTCTCAACCAAAACATCAAGCAACTGCTATATTACTCAATCAAACATTAGGAACACTGTGCCTAGTTCATTAAACAAACACGAAGAACTTGATCTTTTTTATGCAACTAAACAATAAGATCATATTTTGCTCTTATTTTTCAGGTAATTTGAGATGAGTCAAGAATTGACATCACAACAATCTGGGCATTCCCATGAGTACTCTGTCCTCATCTTCAGCAGCCAGCACAGAATTCCAGTACTGATATTTTTTAGGTGAGTGTGAAATTATCTTTTTTTTTTGGGTGCTGAGTGCATATCTCTCTTATCTCAAGCAAAAGCTCCCTTTAAAATGTCTCATAGTTTAAACAAGCAAAATTAGATTAACAGAAATTGGAACAGTAAAAGAGAAATGAGTTAAGAAATGAAAAAAAAATTAAAAATGACATATGTATACAAGTAGAAAGACACGATGCCATTCCCTTTCCATTCCATTTAGGTAATAAATAAAGTAAACAGCAAATAAAATTTTAAAAATAACAATATTATTATAGTAAAATTAAAAATACACTAAATGTTAGCGTAAACAAGCAAACAGGAAATGTAAAGAGTATGCAACAATCTGAATCATTTCACTCACTATCCTGTTGGACCTTTACAAGTCACATAGGGCTTGCAGCCTATTCCTCCACTCCATTTGAACAAAGTTCATCCTCAGGTTTCTCTTCGATGTCTCCATGCCTCAATCCCTCTATTTCCAATGTTAATGCCTGTTTGGTGATTCTCTGCTCGTCTCCTCTCAGGATGTGCCCAGTATATCACCATCTTCTCTGTCTTTTAACTGTTGATACCAGTGGTTGCCCAGTATATCACCATCTTCTCTGTCTTATGTATAACTGTTGATACCAGTGGTTGCCCAGTATATCACCATCTTCTCTGTCTTATAACAGTTGATACTAGTGGTTGCCCAGTATATCACCATCTTCTCTGTCTTATAACAGTTGATACTAGTGGTTGCCCAGTATATCACCATCTTCTCTGTCTTATAACAGTTGATACTAGTGGTTGCCCAGTATATCACCTTCTTCTCTGTCTTATAACTGTTGATACTAGTGGTTGCCCAGTATATCACCATCTTCTCTGTCTTATAACTGTTGATACTAGTGGTTGCCCGGTATATCACCATCTTCTCTGTCTTATGTATAACTGTTGATACTAGTGGTTGCCCAGACATGTCTTTTTTTTCTTCAAATTCATCACATTCTATGTTATCATTTTTCTCAGGCATTAGTTTTTTCAAATGCACTTAACTTGCACTCCCTATCTTTAGTGATTCTCCAACTTTCACTGGCATGTAATTAGAATAAAAATTGTCTGAACACAAAAACTCTTGCTTTGTCAGCCCCTTGTTCCAGGCACCAACAAACATTTATCAGTACTGTTGGTAGTAAAGGACTACTGGTCATGCCATGAGGCACATTGAGTAATGGTACTAGACCCAATAAGCTGACCAACTGATGCTCAGTGACTGATATGGTCAATAACATGTGGCCAGAAGTACTTCCAAGGGAATTTTCAAGTATCCATTTTAGGCTAGGTTGATCTGGGAACAGAGGGCCATCACCAAATGCAACCCTGAGGGGATTAAAACAGATGACTTTGGACAGGCAGGTAAGTGTGCTACCAACTAATCTACCAAATGCTACCAACTACTCTACCAAAGACAGCTCTTCCAAATACACTTTAGGCATGATTAGCAAGCACAATGCATGTACTAATTGATAATCTGGTCACAACTGTTATAACAGCGTAAACAAATTTAAAAAAAAACTGTCAGTACAGCTGGTAGTATATGTATATATTTATGCCTCATGCCACATCTCACTAGTCATGATGCTATTATAATTCAGCATTACGTCATGATTCATGCTGCATTACAAGAACCAGAGATGGGCTGCAGCACAATGGTCCCTTTAAGCGCGAGCAACAGAATAGGGAAAAGAAACAGTAGATGTGTATGTGTGGTGAGTGCACTGCAGAAAACAACTAGCTTATGATGTACAGAATCACAAATTTGGCATTAGTACTCAGTTTTGACTTAATAACTGGAGTGTGGAACTGAAAGTAAACAATACAAAGTGAATGTCTGTGGAAAAATATAAAGAACAAAGAGGCTGTAATTAAAGTTTAGTCCCAGACATTCTTTAATTGAACATAAAAACGGAATGAAATAAGCAGAATAGGACCTCAAAAATAAACTAGATAACAAACTGATCAGAAAGAAGACAAGCAATGAGTAGGGAACTGACTGATGCCCGTGTGTTACTTACTGAGCAAGGATCTTCGTTAAAACTGGTACTCAGGGGGTCTGCAATATGTCTGGGTGGAGGAGGAAGAGATGAACAGACCTTGACATCTTTTGTGTGCTATAAAAGAAGAAAAGTCATCAGCCATATGGCAAAGGTTCAGATCACCTTGAGCGAATGAATGAGATTTCAAAATACATGGAAGACTCTTTTTCTGAAATCAACATGTCATTAGTGTTCAACACAGCAGTTATCTGTCACTATTTAATGCTATGACTTGACACTATGCCGTCAGTACCAAAATTGAACATTTAAAAACTCACATACTTAAAAAAAAATCAACATTTGTGAGATGCCTAAAGAAAACACAAAGATGAAACAAATCCTGAACCAAGTGAGAAACAATAAGATAGATTTGTAAGGACAACATCTTGTGACAAATACTATGAGAAACACAAGACAAAATAGTCTGTAGATCCCGTTAGACTGCTGCAAAATCAGTTACCAACACTGGAATTATATTTACTGAGTGTTGTACCAAATACATGTTGCCATAATGCACCATCTACTCTCATGTGGATATTCTTGTGCTTTCCAGTCTAGGTGAAATACAAATTCAGCAGAATGCCAATAATGTATGGGGGGGTTTTCAAGTACTTTGTTATTCCCTCTGTTTGCAGGGTCAGCCTCACAGTGCTTAATGACAAAAGTGGACAATAAGTAAACACAGTTGGAGTCAATTTTCCAATGAGAAACATATCCTCGCAGACAAATCTGCAGAAACAAATGCAAGCGAAAAAAAAAACATAAAATGTTCTTCACAGTCAACTGATTCATAAACTGTAAAACTCAACACTGTAACATGTAATAGACCTTCTTTAAATAAAAGTTTTAAAAAAACTAAACTTTCTGAACATTCACATTTCATACAACAAATGAGGTAATCAGGTAATCGCATTTTCTACTTCATCACAAATGGGTCACTCCATAGTTGCTCAATTCCTTTGCCAAAGAATACAACACAGAATTTCCACCACTGTCCCTTGTGGAAAAACTGACACAGACTGCAGTCTCAGCACAACAAAAAGCAAACACATGCATTAAATGCATAAGGCAGCCATCAGAAATGCTAGCACAAGCAGTCCGACACTAGAAATGCTGCTCACCACCAATGGAAGCTGCAGTTATAACAGATCAGTAGCTGCCAATACAATTAATCATAAGAGGCATTACCAATCAGTTCTGTGGCAACAGGCCACTTGCCATTTTCTGAATCTACAGTTTAGAACATAAACCATGTTCAGCCAGAAATCATTCCAAATGAAATCTGCTGCTCATAGTGTCGTGCCATACACTCAACTTGGTAGATCAGGATACTAGAAATTTGATTGCATATGATTGCAGTTTAATGACATGTGACATAAATATTGCACAACTGCAATGTGTAAGAAACTCAATTCCTGCATAAATTTAATTCAACTAATAAACATGTTGCTTCAAAAAATAGCAAATGCAGCTTACAGTGTGAATTAGTGTATAATGGGTTAGCATACAGGCAATAAATAATATAATTTAGCAAGAGAAGTGTTATCACTTTCATTGGAACAAATAGTACAAGTTGCATACATTAGCAAAAGCATTTCAACAGTCAGAGCATTATGAGTACAAGTTGCACAGTTAGATGAGTACACAAGTTTTTGTATGATTAAATACAATGGATTCAATACAGTGAAGAGTGCAAAGCACAGCAGCTGGGCGAACCATAGTACCATGCACTCTGCACTTACATCACACTCGGCCATATGGGTTTTAGCACTATGATTGGATTCATTAGAAGTACCACTTGCTCCAGTAGACAGGGTGCTAACGGATGACGCAGGTGTTGAAGAAGTCACCTCTGATATAGGAGGGTTGCCAGTTGGCAGCAATTCACATTTGTTCATGCTCTAGAAAATTGGTAAAGTGTCAAACTCTTATCATCTCAAGCTCTGCATGTTTAAGTATGTATATAAAAAAAGAAAATAATCATTAGACATGACATGTTAGACATATAGATGTGGTTTCATTATTTAGCCTCCCCGTGTAGGTCCCGGGGCCCCATTAGGGAGGGGGAAAACAGACCCATTGTTGCCCTAACAAGCATGTTATAACAGTTAAATAATCAAGGGTGTTTCCATCAAAGTCGAAATGCATCTGCCTGAGAGGTGAGAAACCAACAGTCTACTTACAAAGAAGCCAGATCTGTAAAACTGATGTGCACACAAAAGTCAAGTTCTGGAACAAGACTTAAGTATAGAAGTGGACAAACAACCAGAACTTTTCACCAGAGTTTAAAGCTGGTGGACGCTAAGAAGAAGAAGAAGAAGAAGAATAAGAAAAAATAAAAAAGAAGAAGAAGAAGATTAGCTTCTTCTCTCTTGGACAGCAGTTATGTCAACCCATGCTTTCCTAGTTATTACCTTCACTCACTTTAACAATGGCAGTTATTTTAACCCACTCTCTCCAAGATGTGTTGTGCATTTCTCCTAAGACTATTATTTTAACTTATTCAGATTGGGGAATTTAATATTTAAACCATGCATTTTGTGTAAGATGGTTTTAACTTTCCATGGCAGAAGGATCTTCTTTTTTATACCCCCAGATTAATGTCTTTAATAAATACAATAGTTAGTTACAGCTTTGTAAAATTCCCTTAGTTTTTGTGTGTGTGATGAAGGCAGGAGTGTAACCTTATGCAGTCTTCTCAGCTTGGTATAAAATATCACATTATATATTGCAAGAAACTTCGCTACGCAAATGACACAGTCCTCCTTTCGAACAGCGTAAAGGGAACAGAAAATGTTATATTGTCTGTCCAAAAGCACAGTGAAGATCAAATCTGTTCTTGAATTTAAAGAAAACGAAAATAATGTCCACAGATAAAACTGGCTGTCACCCAAAAATAACAATTAATGGTGAAGAAATTTAAAATGTCACAAATTTTGAATATCTGGGCTCTATAATAAACAGCGATGGAGACTTTTTGACAGAAGTTTTAAAAAAAGATGGCCATAGCAATGTAAAGATTAAACAGCCTAAAAAGTCTATGGTTAAGCACCAGCAAGCAGATCAAAATTAGAATTCTGGGAGCATGCATCTTCCCTGTAGCAACATACAGATGTGAGTTGTAGACTTTCTCCCAGTCCTTAAGAAAGAGAATAGAGGCTTTTGAGCTGAAATACTATAGAAAGATTCTCAGAATATCTTTGACGAAAAAGAGGAGAAATACTGACATCTTGAAAGATCTGAACATCAAGGAAGATTGGCAAAGCATAAACAGGATTTTGTCTCGGAAGCTGAAATATTTGGTCATATCAAGCGCTATGACGGATTAGAAAAAATTATAACAGAAGGCAAGGTACCAGGAAGGAGGGACAGGGGCCGACCAACACGAAGATGGGCATGGGATATAAGTGACTCCTTGAGTATGAAAGTGCATGAGGCGGGATAGTTGGCGAGAGACTGAGTTTCTTTAAGGCAGACAGTGATGAGAGCGACATTCTGCAAAAGACTTGCTACATGATGATGAGAATATAGCAATGCTGACTTAACACTACAAACAAATTAACACTGACCAGATGCATACCTCACCATAACATTCGTCCCATCAAATGTTCACATTTCTAGACAAACCATACACAGCGAGCTTTACTACTTTAGTAGAACTATTACAATTTACTAACTCTTGTCTCAATAATCTTGATTATTTGTAGGGGGATAAAGCTCTTAGTCATCTGTAGGTCTGTAAGGTCTTCTGTTCGTGCTGAAATTGTAGTTCATTCAGCAAGTTTTTGGCAAGACATTTACCTCCTCAGGGACTACAGGATGAACTGCTGCCAGTTCCTCGACTCATGTACTTGCATGCCAAAGATGTTCCTAGTGCCATAACACCCCCCCCCCCCCCCCTCTCATCTTTTTTTGGGGGGGAAGGGGGGGGGGGGGGGGGGGGGGGTCAAACAGGTCAACCAATTTTTATCCTTTTCCAGAAACCATCACTTCTATTTTTTATTTCTAAATCAGTGTGATGTTTTGGGAGCGCCTGACATTCACTTGCAGATCTGAAGGTCATGGGTTTAAATCCAAATGGAGCCTGATTTATTTTATTCCCCAAAAAGGTTTTGGCTCCCAGGTCGACCTAGCCTTAAATGGGTACCAGGTAAAGTCCTGAGAAGTCAAGGCAGCCAGCATGATGTTGACCACATCACCTACAGAGTACCAATCAGTCTATAAATACAGGCTTAGCACTATATGCCCAATATGTCTAGAGGGTCCTTTACAAATGCCCAATACATCTGAAGGTGTGGAAAAGGGTCCTTCACTGTAATGTTCAGTGTAGCTGAATCCCTAAGTAGATTCTGGGGGCCTATTATTGGGCAAATAAGAATAGACCCACTGCCTACTCAAAAGCATGTCGTAAGAGTCGACAAATTGGGAGCTTTCTTCGAAGTTGGAGCGCATCTGCCTGAGAGACAAGGAACCAACAGCCTGCATACAAATAAGTCAGATCTGTCAAACAGAGGCACACGCAACACTCAGTTTCTGGAACATGACTGCAGTCCAGAAGTGAAAAAACAACCAGAACTCACTGCTGGAGTTTATAGCCAGTGAACGCAAAGAAAAAGAAGAAGAAGAATGTAGCTCAAGTATTTCAGCTTTCCAGAAGTGATGCTATTTGTGAGCCAGTTTTCTTCACGGGTTCAAATCTTGTAGTATTTTCATAATTTCCAAATCTTGTAGTATTTTCATAATTTCCAAATCTTGTAGTATTTTCATAATTTCCAAATCTTGTAGTATTTTCATAATTTCCAAATTTTTAGTATTTTTTTTTTAACGCTTACGTTTGAAAATCAAAGATTTTTTTGTGTGGTTTTTGTGTGTGAAACGACCTATAATTTTACATCCGTTTATTATGTCACAGGAAAGATACTTATCCTTTAAATGTTTAGTATATTTGTTTGCTGGCATAGGCTTCTAATAAGGTTTTGTATTACAATGACCAGTCTTCATCTGACATTTTTTTAAACAGTCCCCATTGTTAATTATGAAGCCAATGTATTCAATATGTATGAGATATGCAATTTCTTCTTTATTTGACCTGAAACTAGAACAACTTTTTAGTACTGGTAGCAGATGGAACCAGCATTGTTTAAAAGAAATTTTTTTTTTCAAGTGACCAGACTTCTCACATCTAATTTTGTTATTGGTACAGTATGTGCATTCTGATGATGCCACGCCGATGCTGTGTGTCCTGCAATTACTGATTAGCTATTCAAATGTCATTATACAGAATTAACACTGAAATGACTCTCACCAAACTCTAATTTGACTACAGAACATAACAAACATGTCAAATTGTTTTACTGCCAGCCTTGCCTTCTCCCATAAAGCACCCCACCTTTCCCCTCACACACACACACCATCTTTTTGAAGTAACATACTTTTACAGGTCTGCTCATTTCTAATATCTGAGCACAATTTTTAAGTTCACATTTCTGATTTGGTCCTGGCTTTGTTCCATTACTGACACCTTCAAAAAGCAGATAGAATTGTTCAATCACATGTTTTTCACTAATTAAAGATGACAGCATCTATTTCAATATGGATCAGCCTCTTTATAAAGAATGGCCAGTTGCCTACCAAGAGTGTCAAACAATGTGTAAACTCCAAAGCTCTAGCAACAACCCAAATAATCTCCAAAACAACTACATTTGCAGTCTGAAATCAAGCAAAGATCCATCAGGGTGCAAGGCAACCAGCTTAACCACTTCACCACAGAGATCCCTCCATGTGGGTTGCTAATCCTTAAACAGATTTTTTTTAAAATTAATTATTTGCCAAAGCTTCTATTGTAACTTTGAAAAAAAAAATTATACATCGAAAAACACGAAATAGTTAAAGTGAACAACAAAACTATTCCTGTATATTTTATACCTGACAAAACAAATAATTGTATGCATTTCATAAGACAACTATACATTAAACAAAATATCTTCAGGAAAAGTAAATAACACACATGAATTCTGACAAATGTGGAGAAGGAGAAAAAGCTAATAAATTACAGGCTAAAACAGATATCTGAAATGATTTTATCTGTTCGAAATTCTTAAAAATTAATAGACCAGAAAGTTAAAATAAGTGATTAAGATCAGTACATGCTATTTTAGCAACAAGGTTTGCAATCTGACAGTAACAGTCAGTACACATCAGAAGACCAGTGTAAACATTCTGCTGTTGGCCAGAAATACTTCCCTTCTTGTGTAAGCTCAGGGTGACTGCTTCACAAAAGCAACATGGATTTGTATGGTAACCATCTAGAACATAAATTATGATTCACAACTTTGGTAGCAACAAATACAAAACTCCTCTTTGCCGCAATATAGCCAGGAAGGAGAACACAGGGCCACATTTTTCATTACGTGACAGACACAACAATACAACAACTATAAAACTCACCAGTCTCTGAACCTATGCATATATCATGTTGTACAGATTCATGCAATAACAATGAAACAAAAACTGACTGGTCACTGCATGCAACGTATGTCTTGATAATACTAGAACACTCGATATATTGTTTTGTCACTCAGAATAGTGAAGATATAAGCTATATTTGTGGAAACTTATGTCAGCTTTCTTTAAAATGTACGAGGATGAGGTTATGCATTAAAGGACAAGCCAAGTATGTTCTTACCATAACTACATCCTCATATTGTTAGTGTGCTCAGGGAAACAATTAGTAAAGGTTGTTATACTGTAAACAAAATAGTGAAAGACATACCGAGTTCTGACAACCCTCCTTGTCCCAGTGCTGACGGTACCAGTCCAGCCTATCTGAACATCGGCCGACCGTATTGCACCATCTGCAATCAAACTTCATATTCTTGTGCTCTACACAGGATTCACATTCTGTGAGTCGATTGCATGCTGTTGAATACAATTTTAAAAACTACAGCCAGCTAGTACAGGTGTACAACTCTTATAAAAAGACAGTTTCATACAAGTTTCTGGATAGTAGACTGTATGGTTGTACTGTTATCTACTTTCAAGCGCCCGGTTTCATCTTGTTGCTTATACTTCTCATAATTATTCCCTGTATATATTTTGTGATGTGACTCACTAGACTTATGGCACGATAGTCTTCACATTTTCAAATGCCTGATTTCTTTGACAGAGCAATAAATATAGATTTAAATAGGTCATAAGGAATGTGGTACCCACTGTTATAAACGTCATTTAATAATTAGGTTATTATTTCAATTCCAAAATATTCCAAAGCTTTGATTTCTTCCAATGTGGTGTTGTCTGGCCTGGGTGCCTTTCCTTTCTTCACGTGATGCAATGCATCCTCAACATCTACAGCCAGTATTGGTGGCCTTTCAGTGTTGTCCTGCAAACATACTTATGGTCTATTATTATCATCACATAGATCCCCCAAGTACTGTCTTTTAATTATGTCACCTTGACCCATTAACATGTAACCTTCTTTAGATTTTAAACACCCAGTGATGTTACACCTCTTCTTTCCTGTTAATATATATATCTGTTGGTGCACAGAATTTGAGCCTTTCCTGTGTTTTTTTCCCAAACTGTGCAAATCTGATTCAACTAGGTTTCTTTAGCCTTTTTGCATTTATTTGTTCACTATATCTTTATATATGCGGGAATATTTTTCTTTACCACACTTTTTTCTTTCTTCTCTCATCCATCATCTGCAGAATTTCATCCGACATCCATTTAAAAAAAAATTTTTGGGCGATTCTATGTATTGGAGAAATAAGCTCTTTTGATGTCTGCTGAATTAACTTGCTCAGCATATCTCATTGTTCATCAACATTTGTATTATTTCCAGGGCGTTATATTTGTTTTGCACAGCAGAGTGTCACAACTGGATTGAGAAAACAAAGACAATCAAGAGAAACTCTGACAAGAATGCTGGTGAGAGAGGCCAACTGGATTCCATCAGTGATATCGAGAGGATATACAGGTAAGAATGGAATGGAAGACTAGACCCGGAGCCCTATGTGACGTGTAACGATAAAAAAAGCACAATGACTGTGAAGAATGTAAACAATGTGGTGAAAATGATTTTTTGGGGAGTTCTTCCAGTGTAAATATGTGGTTGATACCATTGACTTTCCTGCTAATGTAAAAATAATGACATTACAATAAAGAAAACTAGACCTCAATCAGCATGGTCTATATGGTTACATGGCCAGTGTGGTTACATGGCCAATATTGTTTATGGTTGGTATGGCCACCTGGCTAATATTTACGTGGCAAATGTGGTTACATGGCCCATATGGTACAAGTCAATACCATTTATGGCCAAAATGGTTACATAGTCAATATGTTTATGGCCAATACAGTTGCATGACCAATATGGTTACATGGCAAATATAGTCTGCATAGCCAATATGGTTACATAAATAATATTATTATATGGGCAAACACTTACATGTCTAAACAGTTACATGGTCAATGCTCTACTAAAACATTTTTTTTAAATTTAATGATATAGTACTGGTAAATAAAGTGGTTGCTTCAAACTGCATAAGACAACTGTGAAACTCACTCACTTGGTAAAGGTTTCAAAATAATCACTGTTCCTGTAGTCACAAGTGACAAGGGCAGCGACACTTTGTGATATTCATAGATTGTCCTTCGTTTTATATCTAACGAAGAAATAAATGTGCATCATTAATTTACAATGAACCTCTGTGTTATGGGGGAGATAATCCATACGTCCTTTTTAGGATGTAATTTGTTGTTATTTGAAGCCCCACCTGGCTTTTGCCAGGGGCCGCAATATAGGCAGGCCATAAATATGGCCAATTGTCTGAACGCGGTTTCTGGGACCTCTCCACGGGTGATCCTCATCCACAAGGTGTGATGTCCTAGTGGGGTAGAAAGTCAGTCAATGAACCTCTGTGAGGTTTCCTAAGACAAAAGATATGATCAATGTGGCAACTACAGATGTATATGTAAACTGGGGAGCACTCTGGCTCTCATACATTCACTGTAAAACTTCATGGAGCTGGTGTGTCTTCACCTTGGGGTGGTAGAGAAGCCAGCGTGCTCCAGTGACCCAAGAACTATGGTAATGCTATCTCAGTTACTGGTCAAGGGAGGTGAACCAGGCAAAGAGGGACACATATATGCTGACTTGCAGGCAGAATGAGGACAATCAGAGGGAACCAGGCAAAGAATGATATATATATGTGGACTTGTAAGCAGAATGAGGACAATCAGAGGGAACAAGGCAAAGAGGGACATATATATGCTGACTTGCAGGCAGAATGAGGACAATCAGAGGGAACTAGGCAAAGAGGGACACATAAATGTGGACTTGTAGGCACAATTAGGACAATCAGAGGGAACCAGGCAAAGACGGACACATATATGTTGACTTGCAGACAGAATGAGGACAATCAGAGGGAACCAGGCAAAGAGGGACACATATATGTTGACTTGCAGACAGAATGAGGACAACCAGAGAGAACCAAGCAAAGAGAAACACATATATGCTGAATTGAAGACAGAATGGGGACAAACAGAGGGAAACGGGCAAAGAGGGACACATTTATGTTGACTTGCAGACAGAATGAGGACAAACAGAGGGAACCAGGCAAAGTAGGACACTTATATGTTGACTTGCAGACAGAATGAGGACAATCAGAGGGAACCAGGCAAAGAGGGACACATATATGTTGACTTGCAGACAGAATTGGAAAAAGCAGAGGGAACCAGGCAAAGAGGGACACTTATATGTTGATTTGCAGACAGAATGAGGACAATCAGAGGGAACCAGGCAAAGAGGGACACATATATGTTGACTTGCAGACAGAATGGGGACAAGCAGAGGGAACAAGGCAAAGAGGGACACTTATATGTTGATTTGCAGACAGAATGGGGACAACAAGCAGAGGGAACAAGGCAAAGAGGGACACTTATATGTTGACTTGCAGGCAGAATGAGGACAAACAGAGGGAACCATGCAAAGAGGGACACTTATATGTTGACTTGCAGACAGAATGAGGACAACCAGAGGGAACCAGGCAAAGAGGGACACATATATGCTGACTTGCAGAAAGAATGAAGACAAACAGAGGGAACTATGCAAAGAGGGACACTTATATGTTGACTTGCAGGCAGAATGAGGACAATCAGAGAGTAGGAAAAGCAAAGCACACAAAAAAAAAATTATAGCAGGGTGAACTGAGCCACAGGCTTGGAGAAACAGTGCAGCACATCTCACTTTATGGTAATGTATTAGAGAATTCAGTTAAGCAGTAGTTCATCAATCATTTTCTAGAATCACCCAGAACAGTGCCCTCAAACCAATGCTGGTGAATTTCAATCATGGTCACTGAAGTGTCTTCGACATGAAGGTTACGACCATCAAGTCTAGCCACTCTAATGACAGAGTATGTAGGTCTCTTGAGAACAACCTTATCTTCATAAATGGGCTCCAACTAGCCTGAGGGACTTACAGTCCAACACAGCTTTATCTTATATTTTTTGAGTTACATAACTTTTCTTGCTAGTATTCATTTCTAGTATGCACATGTGTCTCAGAGCTTCAACTGGCCAGACAACAGGTGGATTTGTTGTTGTTAAAGATTTCAACTGAGTGATTTTGTACATTTTTATTTATTACTGTAACACTAACTATTCACTGCATGTGCTACGGAAGGTTTTTTTGGCCCCAACATTCACTGATCAGTTTTATTTTTTATCTGGTCTGATATCTTTTCACCCAAATAAAACAAACTGCAACAAATTAACAAACTGAAGCTCAATTGTGAGCATATGCCTTGTAAAATATGAAGATAATTTAATCCTGATGATTGTTTATTTCTAAAATCTAGTTATTAACAAATTACAAGTCTGCAGGTTTTTCCTCAGTGTTTTTTTTTGGGGGGGGGGGGGGGGGGGGGGGGTAGGAATGTGAGGGAGGGGAAAAGGAATGTGCCAGTATCTGATCTAGTACTCAGTTACATATCATCAAATATCAGTAGTACTTTGCAATGTGTAGCATAAAACAATAATGATATGAGAAATAAACACAAACAAATTATGAAGATTATCATTTATCATGAGGCCTGCAGCAGCATATATCATGTTTTATTTTATGTAGGTGTGTGTCCATGTGATGTATATGTCCTTGAGATATGTATATCAATAAGTGTATGAGTATGCTCTTGTGATGTGTATATTATTATGTGAATGAGTATGCTTACGTCATGTGTATTTTATTATTAGCATGCCCATATCATATGTATTATTTTGTGTATATTGATTGATATCTCAATTGAAGGAAAAAGACTTTAAAAAGTCAATAAATTTAAATATCTGGTAACAATCATATTATCAGATGGAAAATGTGTGACAGGGATTAAAAGCAGAATAGGTCAAGTGGGAGCTGCATTTCAGAAAATGAAAAATATCTTAAGCAATATATAGCTCTCATTTAATGTCAGAAAGAGGGTGCTAAAATCTTACATAGAACCTGTTCTGCGGCATGGCAGCGAATCTTGGAATGTCACTGACAAATTAGGAAGAATTTAGAAGCAACACAAATGTGGTTTCTGAGATGAATGTTACGAATACCTTGGACAGCCAGAGTAACTAACAACGAATGCTTGAAAGAGGCTAATGAAAGTAGGTTTCTATATACAACAATAAGAAAGAGACAAACACTGAGAAGAGAGACATTGGAGAACATCGTGACAACTGGAAAGATCAGTGGAAAAGGGGGTAGAGGCAGACCAAGAGAGACGATGCTGGATGGGCTGAAACTATGGCATGGAGGGATATCATCAAATAAGTTGTTCCAGGCAACCAGGGATCGTGATCTGTGGGGATGCATGAGCGCCTATGCCAGTTGGCAGGGCATATGATGATGTTGTTGATGATGATAAAAAATGGCATTGTGATTTGTTATTTTTTAGTGTATTTCCATGTAATACATGCACTATCTCTATGTCGACTGATGTGCATATTGTTTTGTGTGTGGCTAAGCTTTTGCGAGGTATTTGTTATTTTTCCGTGATTACATATCCGTTTAGTACATACAGATGGAGAGCTGAGATAAAAAGACAAGAGGGATTGATTGATTAAGACGTAAACATAAAGGAGATTCTTTGACTTCATCTAACTTCAGACAACTTGACTGTGCATTCCATATTTTATGCAGTGAAATAATAACAGGCATGAAATTTTAAACAAAAAAATTAATAAGACCAAAGAACAAGTGTCTACATACTGCTTTCAGGTATATAGGTGTCATTGTAATATGCATCAGACACGCCAACCTTCACCGGATGCTCATCATTGGAAATGTTTTTAATAGGGAAAGGTACCTAAAAGCAAACATTATTTTACAATAATTATTTACAAGGTCATTGCAAACTCAGGATTATCTTCAGCAACAGTTCAACACAAGGTGTATTCGTAAACAGCTTAAAGTGGAGAGGATGAACTTCACAGGGTGTTGTTCCATATTGCTCCGATTCCATCTGCAGAATGGTTAGCAGCTTGCTGAGAGTGTTGCACAAAGCACAAATTCTGTAGCTCTGCAGATTACAGTAAAAACTGCATTGATGTTTTGTAGTCCTATGAAGTGAACCAGTGAGTTCTGAACACAAAGCAAATGGCTTTAACCACTTAGATGTGAAGACCCCTATAGTTTATGTTAAAAACATGTAATAAAACTATGCATAAGTAAATGTAGATGGTCCTAGTCTGAACAGAAGCCCAAAAAAAAATATGATGAAGAAAATGCTATGTAATATATCTTTCTCAACAGAGATAAGAACAAGGGTATTTAAGAGCTATACTGAGTAATCCTGACGTATGGAAGTCAATCACGAACAACCATAAAATGATGATGAGAACATCTTCAGCACCCCAAAAAATTGAATTTTTCTCGAAATAAATTAACTCACAAAGAAAACTGGTTATGTCTATCAGAAGGAGACAGTCTACATTTGTTGGATATGTCATGAGAAGGCGAAAAACTGTAGGATGTCATGGTCATGGGAAAGCTGAAGGAGGAGAGAAACAAAGACACACCTAGAGAGAAATGTCAATTCTGGAATTATGGACATGATTGACAGTACACAAGACAGAAGGCAGTGAACAGACATGATGACCAACACCAACAGGCATGCATGACTGGAGAGAAGTTAATGTCCACATATATGAAAACTATAACTACCTAAAAGAATTGTTTATATAGAGGGAAATAAGCAAATAAGGAGAGCGGATAAGTGAAAAGAAGGGGTTTCTGATCATAAAATTTAAACAAAATCATATGAAGGTAGACTGACACTCCAGCCCTCCTCTCCCCTTTTTAGCCCAAAAAACCCCATTTAGTTAAAGGAAGAGGTGTGTAAGTAAAAGGAATGTGAACGAAGAAGAGACTGTTCAAAGGAATAGTGCAGTGCTATATAGGAAACATAAATCTTTTTCTTTACAAGCAACACCAACTGAAGTGAGCTGTCTCCATAACACCATTTCTCTAGTGTAGTTCACCAGTTCACCTAATGAATTGTGTGTCATCATAGAATACCATCCAGTACTTCATCTCTACTACACTTTACTCATTTTTTAACTTTTTATTTTAAATAAAGTAAGTAAAGAAAACTTCCCACACATTCAGGCTTATTGGGTACATAGGGCTAGGCCTATATTTGACAGACCAATTGGCACTTAGTAGGTGATGTCGTCAGCATCACACCGTCTACCTTTACTTCCCAGGACTTCAGCTGGCATCAATTTAAGGCTGGGTTGACCTGGATGCCAAGGACAAAAAGTATAGTGCCATTTTTATGACACCAGCCTTTCAATTAATTCTGGCTCTTATCTAATGGCATGGTAAAGTAATATTAATACTTCTATCCATAGATCTGTCATATTTTCTTTGCATTTTCAGAATTTCTTCTGGACATTTTGACATTTCAACAGCTTTTTTTCTTTCTGTAAAACTAATTTTTTTCACATTCTCTTTTGTCAGTTATCAACAAGTGACAGTTAAATATTAAGGTATGTATGTGTCTATCTGTCAATATGTCTGTATACATACCACAACCATGCACAGAAATAGAAACTAACCGATTTATAGAGAAACTTTATAATACTGTCAGCCTGCAGGACAGCCTGAAAGTGGAACCTGCCAGCTGAAACAGAAAAACAAAATTTACATGACACAGCTAAGCAGAAGAAGGTCCAGCACTAAATGTTAGCAAATCCCTTCATTAGACACTGTTACAGGGCTGTGAGACCTTAGATCAGCGGTTCTCAACCTGTGGGTCACAATCCATTTTTGGGTCAAACCACCCTTTCACAGGGGTCGCCTAAGGCCATCGCAAAACACATATTAACTGAAGTTATGAAGTAGCAACGAAAATAATTGTATGTTTGTGGATCATCACAGCATTATGAACTGTATTAAAGGGTGGAGGCATTAGGAAGGTTGAGAACCACTGTCTTAGATCTTCACATATACTAGGTCATGCCATGATGAGAGGATGGGAGAGGTGCTCTGCTCCATGGTTAGCCACTCTTCATCCTCAGACAGCCATCTTTCTAGCACTTATTTTAAGAATCAACACCCTTGTTAAGAAAACAACCTTGTGTGGCTAAACAAATAAAGTCTCCATAAATATTGTTAACAAATGCAATATAACCTGTTCACCTTATCTGGATTATCTTCTTCTTAGTGTTCACCGACTTAAACAAGTTCTGGTTGTTCGTCCACTTATGTATGTTGTTCTAGTTCCACCCTGAGTTTTACATGCACATCTGTTTTACAGAGTGGGTATATGTTTTTACCCCAAAATCTATTCTATATCCTCTTCATGTCACTGTTGACACATAAGGCAGTCACAAGTGATGTTCATTGTTGCCAGTTTGCTGCTTTTCTGCCCATGGTATCCCATGTCAGTTTCCCGTTCTATTGTCCTTCTCCAGGTTTCCTTAGGTCGTCCACGTCTCCTTTTCCCATCTGCTGCCCACCGGAGAGCTGTTTTTGCCAGAGTGTCACAAGGCATTCTGCAAACATGTCTAAGCCATCTCCATCATCTTACTTTGATAACATTTGCCAGTGATGCACATTCTGTTTTCCTCCTCAGTTCTTCCAAAATGGTGCCCTAGAAATCACATGAGGAGGTGAGAAGATGGACTCCTCTGTACAGAGGATGTTCATTCACAGAGGTAATTGCATAAATGATAAAACAGCAATGACCTCTGGATTTCCAAAATGTGTGAACTCTTGAACCACAGAGATTGAAATCAAACTGACAACCTTTAGAGATAAATAGCTTAACAACTTTGTCATAACAATTCCTAGTGTTCCTGTTAATCTTCATGTTAATGAGAAATCATAAGTAGAACCTACTTGTGTTCTGGTCTTTGAGCACTACATTCTTCCACTCTGCAATGAACCTGTTTTCTGAAAACATAATAATTCACAGTAAGTGTACAGAGGCATTTTAGAAAACCAGCATAAACAAGCATGTTTCTAGATATAATTTAATTTAAAACAATTTTTAACATTTTTATTGCAAATAATACATTTTACAATGCTTACCACATGGCATTAATTTAATCAGGAGCCATGACAGTGTCGTGGTTAGATGCTTACATGCCAGCCTAAAAGTCTTTGGTTTAAATCTGCGTCCAATCAGATTCTTTTTCTAAGTTGACTCTGAATCGCAGGCTAACCCAGACTAAAATCGGTACTGGGTAATGTCATGAGAAGTCAAAGTGGCTAGCTAGCATGATATCCATAATGATGCTGTAATAAGTCTCCAATACTCTTTGTCTACTGGCTGGTGGTATACTGACGGATTACTGTTTGTCCTGTTTGTCATCTTCTTACTTGTACGAATGTTTTACCTCTTGCGTGTCTGCCCTTGAGTTTTCCTAGGAGTGTGATCTTTACAAACAATTGTTTTGTATCTTTCAACAAGGCCAAAACATTTCACATGACTTTTTTTATTCCTTTTATTATCTCTTTTTTAAATCCGTGCATTTCTAAAATCTCTGTATTTGAAATTTGTCCTTTGATAAAATATGATATATACTTTTGTATATCCACATTTCAAAGCCTTCATGCACCTTCCTAATCGCTTGGTCATTCCATTATGCACCACATTGTATAAACATATTGCAACATTCATGTTCATCATTAATTTCCACTTCTGCTGTTAAGCCTCATGGGGAGGAACAATTTGTGATCCATTACTTGATGGGCAGCAATGGCTGTTGTCATTCTATGTCAGTGTAGAAGCTCTTTAATGTCATCCATCCATAGTCTCCTAGGGCAGCAGCCACTTGTTTTCACTTCAGATCTCTTCATGTGCAGCGCCTGCGTTGGTAGTTGTTTTGGCTGCATCATATTATTTTAGTCAATGAGAAAAGCCTATGTTAAAACATTCAGTAGTATGCATGAATATCCACGCCCACCCCCCCCCCCCCCCCCCCCCAGTCAGTCAGAGTGTACAAACAGCAGTCTGTCAAAGTGTACAAACAGCAGCGGTCTGACAGAGAATACAAACAGCAGCAGTCTGTCAGAGTGTACAAACAGCAGCAGTCTGTCAGAGTGAACAAACAGCAGTCTGTCAGAGTGTACAAACAGCAGAAGTCAGTCAGAGTGTACAAACAGCAGCAGTCTGTCAGAGTGAACAAACAGCAGTCTGTCAGAGTGTACAAACAGCAGTCTGTCAGAGTGTACAAACAGCAGCAGTCAGTCAGAGTGTACATACAGCAGTCTGTGAAAGTGTACAAACAGCAGCAGTCTGTCTGAATGTACAAACAGCAGCAGTCTGTCAGAGTGAACAAACAGCAGTCTGTCAGATTGTACAAACAGCAGCGGTCAGTCGGTGTGTACAAACAACAGCAGTCAGTCAGAGTGTACAAACAGCAGTCTGTCAGAGTACAAACAGCAGTAGTCAGTCAGAGTGAACAAACAGCAGTCTGTCAGAGTGTACAAACAGCAGCAGTCAGTCAGAGTGTACAAACAGCAGCAGTCTGTCAGAGTGAACAAATAGCAGTCTGTCAGAGTGAACAAACAGCAGAAGTCAGTCAGAGTGTACAAACAGCAGCAGTCAGTCAGAGTGTATAAACAGCAGTCTGTCAGAGTGTACAACCACAGTCTGTCAGAGTGTACAAAACAGCAGTCAGTCAGAATGTACAAACAGCAGTCTGTCAGAGTATACAAACAGCAGCAGTCAGTCAGAGTGTACAAACAGCAGCAGTCTGTCAGAGTGAACAAACAGCAGTCTGTCAGATTGTACAAACAGCAGCAGTCTGTCAGAGTGTACAAACAACAGCAGTCAGTCAGAGTGTACAAACAGCAGTCTGTTAAACTGTACAAACAGCAGCAGTCTGTCAGAGTGTACATACAGCAGCAGTCTGTCAGAGTGAACAAACAGCAGTCTGTCAGTGTGTACAAACAGCAGCAGTCAGTCAGAGTGTACAGACAGCAGCAGTCTGTCAGAGTGAACAAACAGCAGTCTGTCAGAGTGTACAAACAGCAGCAGTCAGAGTGTACAAACAGCAGTCTGTCAGAGTGAACAAACAGCAGTCTGTCAGAGTGAACAAACAGCAGTCTGTCAGAGTGTACAAACAGCAGCAGTCAGTCAGAGTGTACAAACAGCAGTCTGAAAGAGTGTACAACCACAGTCTGTCAGAGTGTACAAACAGCAGTCAGTCAGAGTGTACAAACAGCAGTCTGTCAAAGTGTACAAACAGCAGCAGTCTGTCAGAGTGTACAAACAGCAGCAGTCTGTCAGAGTGAACAAACAGCAGTCTGTCAGAGTGTACAAACAGCAGCAGTCAGTCAGAGTGTACAAACAGCAGTCTGTCAGAGTGTACAACCACAGTCTGTCAGAGTGTACAAACAGCAGTTAGTCAGAGTGTACAAAGCAAGAAACAGATAGGTTAGAGATTCATTGTAGTGCATCATCACTGCAGAGATGACATCAGAATCAAGTCACTGCACACTGGGCATTTCCATATGTGCTCATTCCTTTAATGCAAAGCCATGTTAGCAACACCAATGGAGGCTAAAACTTCCAAATACATTTCATTTCAGTACATGAAGCAACAACAACAATATATATTTCATGATAGAAAAACACAGTGTAACTTAACGACTCCCAGTCTCAAGTATTGACAAGCAAATAGGATGTAAAATATAATTATGAGAAACCAAAAAAAAAAAAAAGAAACAAAAAATGCAACTCTAAAGCATTTTTGCGAAACAGATCGTAAAATACAAATTACTGATATGAAAAAGAGACTGTTCTGGTTAAAATTTAGAGTGAAAGACATGGATAATGAAGAGATGATAATATTCTAAATTAGAGCAACATCAAATCATCTACATACCATCACTTTGGATGTAAATGCTGGATTCAGCACTAAAGGAAGGGTCAAAGTTTGCCATCAAAGGAGCTATATACTGTGTTGCAGTCAGCCACTGATGCAAAAATGGACTCATATACAAGAAACCTGGAACAATAACAAGAGAATGTACAAGATAATACAGGGAAAATTACATTTCTTTCACAACTGATAATTCATGAATCAGTGTGGGTGGCAGAACATGGTATCCTTGCCCTCTTGGAGTTTGGACCCAATTTTCCTTCTTTAAAAAAAAACCACAATTTAGAAGGTCATGCGTGCACAGTGCACACATTAAATATCAATTGGTAGTTGGAATTTTTCTTTTTTTGTAATGGCTTCTTAGATATCTGATAACATTTCAAAATGAGAAACATATCAACAAAAGGATATTTATATGATATCAACATGATTTACAGACTGGGAAACTGATGGTAGCAGAATCTGATTTTCAAACTGAAATTCTCATGGCAGTAGTGTCTTATCTGCATATACTGGGATTGTCATGGTAGAGTGGATTACATTTACAGACAGGGATCTTCACTGTCTTGGAATATGATTTGAGCAAACTGAAATATCATAGCTGTGGAATCTGATTTAAACAAACTGAGATTTCACAGTAGTGGAATCTGATTTAAGCAAACTGGAATATCATAGCAGTGGAATCTGATTTAAGCAAACTGGGATATCATAGAAGTGGAATCTGATTTAAGCAAAGTGAGATATCATAGTAGTGGAATCTGATTTAAGCAAAGTGAGATATCATAGTAGTGAAATCTGATTTAAGCAAAGTGAGATATCATAGTAGTGGAATCTGATTTAAGCAAAGTGAGATATCATAGTAGTGGAATCTGGTTTAAGCAAAGTGAGATATCACAGTAGTGGAATCTGATTTAAGCAAAATGAGATATAGTAGTGGAATCTGATTTAAGCAAAGTGAGATATCATAGTAGTGGAATCTGATTTAAACAAACTGAAATATCACAGTAGTGGAATCTGATTTAAGCAAACTAGGATATCATAGTAGTGGAATCTGATTTAAGCAAACTGAAATATCATAGTAGTGGAATCTGATTTAGGCAAACTGAAATATCATAGTAGTGGAATCGGATTTAAGCAAACTGGGATATCATAGTAGTGGAATCTGTTTTAAGCAAACTGAAATATCATATTAGTGGAATCTGATTTAAGCAAAGTGAGATATCATAGTAGTGGAATCTGATTCACTTAGACTGAGATCTTCATTGTAGAGAAATCTGATTTACACGACTGTGATCTTCATAGTAGTGGAATCCAATTTACAGACAAATCTACATGGCGGTGGAATCTGCTGTACACAAACTGGGTTTCTCATTGTAGTGCAATCTCAATTAGACATACTGGGAATCTCACATCATCCATTTAGTGCTAGTTGGTCTGTCAAAATATGGAGCAAACACCATATACCTAATATATCTAAAGGTAGGGGATCTTCTTCATAGTTCATCAAAAGATGTTAATGAGTTGCACCCACTTTTCAGCATAGCTGCACCATTTGCACCTTCCCACCAATACATCCAACTTCTGCTGGCAATTGTTGACCAGGTTAGCCCTACTGGTAAGGGAATCCTTTAGCAGAGTGGTCTTTCTGACTGATGCTATGTCAGTTCTACAAGCAATTGTTAACCCAAAAGACACTCAGTTTGTAGACTTGACGCAACAGCTGATTTTTGTAAGCTCTTCAGTAGAACAATCTGTACTGCAGTGGATTCCAAGTCACTGCCGCTTTGAAGGCAATGAAATAGCGGACAGATTGGCCAGAAGGTCAGTGACATGGTACAACCAAATAGTGCCTTAACCCACCAAGAGACAAAAACAATAATACAATAGTATTCAAGAAAGGTGGCTGGAAGACAGTGTATTATATTTAGACTAAGGACTGGGCACAACAGACAACGTCAACATTTGTTCACATTTTTTGGTGTAGGAAATACGGAAACGTGTCACCTACAAATGCTGAGCATGTGCTCCAACAATGTCAACTGTATGCTGACAACAAAGACGCAATCTGGCCTGTTCCAACCACAATGAAGACAAAGCTGTATGGTATGGACTGCATGATAGCTTTCATAAAGGCTACTGGCCTCCTGACATAAGTTTTCTGACAGAAGGACCGAAGAAGAAGAAGTCCTTTATTTTTATTTTTTTTTCTTCTTTAATATTGTCTGTCATCAGATTCCTGCATCACTGCTCTTTGACAGTTATACGTCACCTTCAGCAACAAACATATTCCTTGGTAAACCTTAAATGTCTCATTACAACATACAGTTTAATAAAATAAACTATGAAATATGATAAATTATTGTTATAAGTCTCAAAGCTTGCTCACCTCCGGTGGCAACTGTAACATTGGTGACTTTATGACCATAGAAATAGAAGTCAAACTTCAAGTTGAATACCTGCAACAAATTGTATAAAGACAACAATAATTTTTTTATGGAGAAATACAAGCAGACAAACATAATCCTATTTATATGATAACTCCAAGGTTGTGCTCATACAATTTATTTTACACCTTCATGATAGATATTTTCATAGCTAGAGGAAAATACAGTTTTGACATCTGATGGTAGGGAAACCAGAATATTCTAGTATGATTTTCAAAAACAATGTGTTCCTGTTGTGAATTTAAATTATTTCAGCTGAAACATTATATGTATCTCATCATGTGCATTACTATACAATTTACATCGTTATATAATGAAATCTCTTCTTAGGCTGTACTTTTCACTAGATGTTCTTAGTTAACCATGTGATCCTTTTGTTTATAAAAAAATGAAATGCCTGTCCTAATTCTGCACATTTCACCAGTTGCCTGTCCTGTCTTTGACAAGTGACCTGGAAAGCACACTGTCGGTCAATCACATGCCCATAGTCTAGCACACGATGTGCTATGGAAGAATAATGCTTTTTCCTCCTGACTGCCTGTGACTTACTTGCAAGAACCTCCACTCTGAGTTTGTCATTTCAAAACAAGCACAGCAGTTCTTAAAATATACTGAAAAAAGTATGTAGGGATCCTGCAAAACCACCAGCACAAACATACAAATACATATCTCACAGGTTTCTTGTGTTCATGCTGGTTACATCGTTGGATCCTAGCCCGCCTCTTTGTTTTATTTTATCAATTCCCATTGCAGTCAATATTTGTTACAGTAGAACCTCGCTTAACAAGCACGTCTCATAACAAGTAATTCGCATAACCAGCAAAACAAATTGTAGAAAAATGACTTACTTAACGAGCGACGTTTCCCATAACGAGTGGCCAGGAGAGGGGAAGTCCCGGATTGTGCACATGTTACATCAGTCTGTGTTTAGCACTCGTTCCAGTAGCATTGTAGTGTCGCTTGTGATCGCACATTTTCTCAAACTTGTGTTATATTGTGATATATGTACATTAATCCTCCAGGTCTACAAGATGATCTCTCTGAAGTATTTAAGTTCATCAAGATCCAGTTTCTGCCTCCCAACACCTCCATTACTCCAGACCATGGACCAGCAAGTTATTTCTAACTAAAGCACTCTTTGAGCATTGTTTTCAGGTGACTGAAGGGACCAACATCACTATCAAAGAGTTTTGGAAAAATCACTTCCACATCGTTGCCTGCCTCAAGATGATCGACAAGGCGGGGGAAGGGGTTACCAAGAGAACCCTAACTTCTGCTTGGAAGAAGCTTTGGACGGAGAGCTTTGCGATTTGTGACTTTGAGGGGTTCGAGACAGTACGAGTGGAACCTGTAGTCACCGAGATTGTGTCTTTGGCCACTTTCATCGGATTGTAGGTGGATAACAGTGATATCGAAGAGCTTGTGGAAGAGCACAGCCAAGAGCTGACCATTGAAGTGTTTATGGAGTTGCATTGTGTTTGACTGCAAGAAGTTTTGGAGGGAAGTTTGTCAGAGGAGGAGGAAGTAACAGGAAAGCAACAATCTTCTGGCAAAATAAGAGAAATGCTGAAAGCATGGGAAACTGTTGCATCTTACATTGAGAAGCGTCACCCTAATAAGGAAGTGGCTATGCGCGTTGCAAATTTATTTAATGATACTCCTGTGTTGTATTTTTGCCAAATTTTGAAGTGTCGACAAAAACAAATGTCTCTGGACATCTTGTAGAAAACAAACATTAGCTATGCATCATAATTATTCCGACTTTTTTTTCCTGTAAATCAAATTTGCATCCCAGGTGGGTTCTTTCTGCGTTTAAAGAAAAAGATGAAGATGATTCACTCTCCTTAACAATATGTATATAATTTTCTTTGAATAAACGCTATACATAGCATTGTGTGAGTATTTTTTCGACATGGAGCGCATTATCGTATTTTACATTAATTTATATGAGAATTTTTTTTTCGCATAATGAGTTTTTCGCTTAACGAGTATGATTTCAGAACGAATTATGCTCGTTAAGCAAGGTTCCACTGTATTCACAAAAAGCATTTCTTGCAATCTCATACTTTTACATTCCAAAGTATAATTTCTTAGAATGCTAGCAGTAATGTTGACATATTTCAGAGAATGTTTTTTATTATGACTAATGAAGCACCCAGATGTGGCATGCTGATACCTGTCCATAATAAATCAGGAATATTTATAAGCATAAAAATGATCAAAAAACAACAAATCTGAAGGAAATGTTTACAACAGCTTTAACAGTATTATAAGGTTGAAATCTTACAGCTGCAACTCTGTGGCCAGAGGACAAAGTTTCATGTCTGGGGGCATTCTCCAGCTCCACCCAGTGCTCAGTAAAATTCTTGGAGATAATATCTGATGTGTAATAGTTATAATGATCCTGAAAATAAACAACAGTGCTTATGGTAGACAGATGACAATGACATTGACCTGTTAGTATGATACACGCTCAACATGCATGTTTAATATGGACAATTAATTCAGAGTAGCTGCTGTTTAACAGAGCAACTACATCCCTCATACAACCATTCAGGCATCTTGTAGACATAGTGATGAGCCCATCTTTTTTTTTAAGATGACCCAAAAAACAAAACACGAACAAATGAATAGGGCAAAAAACAGCTAATGGTATGAGGAAAATCAAGTAACAAACTGAAACACCACTGCCTCAGCTGCAGACTACAATGAAAGAAAAAAACATGCTGCTATAACTGAAGATCAAACCCCAGAACAATGTGTGCATTAATCATTTAGCGGCCATAGTCTACTCATTCTACTGTTTGCTAGCACCCTTCACTTTACCCAAAAACAGTGTTCCGTTGTGCAGTATGGAAGCATGGGAGTCGCAGCCTTTGGCGATGGTAAGGGTGACTAGTAAGACCAGCTCGCGTTAGGAAAAATCTTCAATACATGCATTAGATGTCACAACCATTGTTGGCATCACATGTATTTAATGTTTCTTCTCACGTTCTCAGCTCTCAACAAGTATCAAATCCCTTCTCCTTTGCCTTTTCATTCCTAATTTTCCACCTCATGGCATCCTGTTCCAATGAATCCATCTCAATACCTCTATCATTCAAATCCCACAAGTACACATCTTTAAACCATAATAGTTGCTGACCCTGACTTCCATCCAATTGTGATTCACCACAGAGGATGTCCTTAGGGACTCAACCTATAATAATAATAATAATAATAATAATAATAATAAGTTGTATTTCTATACAAGGTACGTAGATATGAAAAAGTTCTATTATAAACTTCAATTCAACCACTGTAGACTTAATAAATGTGTGCTCAGATGGTTTAGCAATATCTGCAGAATAGACAAAAATCAACATCCATAACATTTATAGGAGAATAAAAGTTAAAAATTAAGACATGTTGAATGTTCAAGAGTTGCTGAAGCAACAAGACTCAAGAACTGGAAAAAGCTACAAAGAAAACCCTTGATTACTGATTGGGGCTGTATGAAGAGGGCTCTACATGATTTCCACACCAAGAGGAAGGAGAAGCACATCAGGGCACATGCTTGATAGATGGTAAAGGCCAGGGTTAGACAAACTTGAGAACTATTGTAGCTAAGACTTCTAAAACTAGTAGCCAACTAAGAACCAAGACCACTGACAAGTGAAGAGGCTGTTCTTGCACACCACAACATCAGTGAGTTGAGGTAAACAAGTGTCAAGGTTACACAGACAAGCAGACCAGCACACCAGACTCCAATTATCTGAGTGTTCACATCTGAGTGCATATATATATATATGACAAACAGCATCTCATTAAAAAAGTGCAAAATGATTCTTGCTTCAGCTAGCAGCAACATATTAAGATTATTGTAAGCTTGGATCAGTGAGTGTTGATAATGTGTGACTTGCTGTTTCATTAAGCAATACCATTGTTCCTTATCCACTAAGTTTGATATCTTGATTTTTGTTTGCTTGTCAGTGTTAGTCAAAAGATGTTTTTTAAAATATCCAGAAAGCATGAGTTGTAAACCCTTTGGCTCGGTACTATGGATATTGAAATCCTTCGGTCTTTAGCTCCTGGAGCATGATAACATCAAAATCAAAAATTAACCTCTCCAGTACAGTACCTATCTGACTAGCACTCCGACAGTTCCAGTATCCTACTCTTACATGACTGAAGCTCAATCTCTCCGCTTTTCATCTTGTTCTCCTATCACCTGCCCTCCTATTCCTATGCCTTTTTCTCTCCCCATTCCCTCGTCTCCTCCTCACTCTCTCTTCACGAACTGCTGAAAAATGTGTCAAGCGCAGAGCATGTGCCCCGTAGCTCCAGCGACGATTCCTATGTATATTTTTAAAATCAATATGCGAAAAAAGGGTAGTGCAGGAAATAACCGATCACCCTAGTATTGCCTACTAGGGAAGGGGTAATGGATGTCCCGTAGGAATCCATACGTCTGGTGCCGCCCCGCACGCTGCCAGACATCCAACGTTCATGACCAGCTCACCCGTGGCCATCCAGTTCCTCAGCATGTTTGCCCACCTTGAACTTAGGGGTTTATATTTAGAGTTTGCCGTCTCCTAGATGGACTGCTGTCTAAACCTAACGGGTTCCACTGACAGCATACAAAGCATGAGTAAACAAAGTAAAACATTTATGGTGTTTGGTTTGATAAATTGCAAACAACTAAATTGTTTTGCTTCAGACCATGAAGAGAAGTGACAATACACTGCCAAGCATGTGTTGCTTGACTTGAGCCAGTGGAACCACAGCGGAAGAGAGGTTCAAGGGATACAGGTGGAGATTGGTGGTTTAAGTTGGAACCTCATAAATATATATGCCACGGTAGACTGTTTTGTCAGAAGGGAACAATAGGGCTGACTCAAGGAATTGGATACCAGGTGATAGGTTACTCATGTGTGGGGATTTCAACGCGAGGAACAGAGAATGGGAAAGCAGTGGAGAAAACCAACAGGGAATTGCTCTTGCAGAGGTCATGGCTGACTCTGATAAGGTCTGCATCAATGATGGGAGGCCGACTAGGATGGCAATGAGGTCTGGCAATGCAGACACAGCCAATGACTTGATATTTGTCTCCCAGTCGTCAGTGTTAGATGTGAAATGGACTGTCCTGAATGACCATCGGAGTGATCACCTACCGTGTTCAGTCCTGATTTCTAAACCCAGTAAGGTTAAGGCTGTCAGAGCACGCAAGACCTTCCAGTACAAGTGGACCAACAACCTACTTGGACGCCTCAGACATAAAGCATGCAACAGAATTGCCAGAACTAATTTTCTACAGCCCCCATGGTGGACCCACAGGTTTATAGCTCAAGACAGATCATAATGATGGAGACATCAGGGATGCAGTTAGAAAGGAGTTAGCTGGCACCTTAAAAAATGTGCACTGTGAAGACATGAAACGAGTAGAAATCAAACAAATTTCTAAAAAGGCAAAGGACACTGCAACAGGGCCTGATGGGTTCAGGTATAGCCACATGAAGGCTTTGAGCGATGTGGACCTGGCGGAGATGGCTGACTGTTTTAACCAGAGCATTAAGACAGCAAAAGTACCGCAGGACTGGGTGCCCAGCTATCTAATCCAACTTCCAAAACCTTTTAAGGATCATTCAAAGCTCAGTGGCTTTAGAATCATCACCTTACAAAACACATTTGGGAAGGTCTTGGAGAAGATAGTTGCTGTAAAGCTGCAAGAATTTTTGGAAAGGGGGAAGCCTTTCCCAAGATGTCTGGAAAGCTACAGACCAGGAAAGGACACATGGGCAAATGCGGCCACTTTTGCTTTTGACGTCTATGAAGGGTTCCAGAAGAGACAGAAAACTATGGCGGTAGGACTGGATCTTGAGGATGCTTATAACTGAGTAAGATATGACATCTTGATGACTTCATTGAAGGAGAAGGTCAGTCCATGAATTGTGAACTGGATTGCAGATGTCGTGTATTTATGTCAGGTTGCTCTTTGACTGGGCTCATGGACATCAGAACCATACAGTTTGGCCCAAGGACTGCCATAGGGATCCGCTATCTCACCTGTGCTCTTTAACGTGTATACGAGCAAGACAGCAAGCCTAGAAGCACCAGGTGTTGGAAGGATACTGACTTTTGCGGATGATATACTTGCATATAGGCAGAGGGAAGAGAAGGAACAAACAGTCCGAGAGCTACAAGCGACAGTGGACAAAGTGACTGAACAGTGTACAGAAATGAGGGCTGCCATCCACCCGGAAAAGGGGTCTGTTTTGTGGTGTTCTTTGGACAACAGGATCGTTAAAGCTAATGTCCCAAGTCTCACGAAGATGGTAGAGACGTGAACAGAGAGAGCAAACTGAAGTATCTGGGAATTACATTTGACAGGAGCCGGTCATTTAAGGGCCATGTGGAGAGTGTTGTGACGAGATGCCAAAAAGGACAGTGCATTTAAGACTATGGCTGCAACGGACATAGAAAAGAGATTGCTTTTCACACTATGTCAGCACCTGATCCTGTCAGTGGTTAATTATGGATGGAATGCTTACCATCTTAAAGAGCCAGATGGACAAACTAGAGTACATACAGAACGCAGCAATGGGGGTCATTCTAGGTTGCACCAGAGACACTCCAGTGGTGTGTATGCAATACATCCTTGGTTTGCCAACTGTTGCAGGTAGGCACAAGGTGCTGCAGGTGACGTCATATCTCAGGGTAGCTGCAGACACAGACCACCCTTTGAACGAAGCTCTGGATGCAGTTTAGGGTCAGCGGCTGATAAGAGGGAAGTCATGGATGGCTCAGGCAGAGGATACAATCAGACAGGTTTGCATCCTTGAGAACATTAGGTGAGGAGAGGAGTGGGTCAAAGTGATACCTAAACAGTCAGACTTGTGTAGGGTCATAATCACAATGAGCCATGAATGCAGAGACTGGCCAGCAGGTGCCACAGAGGTAGAAATTCAGCAATTAATTCAAGATAATGCTCGCTCAGAAGATTTGATCACTTACACAGATGGTTCAGTGTCAAGAGGCAAAAGAAGTGCTTGGGGTTTCTTAGCAAAAGTTAATGGTCAACGTTTGGTGCAGGAGAGCCTGGCAAATGATACCATAACATCGAGCTTAAGAATGGAGGTGGAGACAGTCACTGCGGCTTTCCGCTGGCTAGAGAACACGACACACACACACATTGTGATTGTAACTGACTCAGAAAGCATGCTGAGGAAAATCAGGACAGGCATGCTTCGTGCAGAGTGGCATGCCTCGCTGCGGAAGACATGGGTGAGGAGTATTGTCTTTTTCACCAGGGAATGCCAGAATGCTACTGGCACCATTAGTATCAGAACTCTTCGCTGGCTGCTGAAGATGGGGATGGAGCGCTTACAGGAATGCCCCGAGTGCTGTGATGTCAGTCACTGAATC